TAACCTAATTTCCATATGAGGAACAAATTATATTAAATTGTATACACAATTTTGCTTCATCAGCTAAACAACCTTTTGGATTCATTATTCCAGAAGAATCCACATATTTTATAACTTAGCAAGTTTCTAGACTTTTGATTGAAAAGTTATTGAATTTAACCTTAGCATTTTTGTAGCATTTTAATTGGATCCAATCTATTCAAGAGAGAAACTATACCATGAAATAATTCAAAAGACTTCACACTGAGGACTAATCAGCCAATTTGAGTCTTGACAGCATTGTCCATATTCTTACAAAACAGTCTGGGGTGAGGGAGTCTCCTCTTAAAATGGGCATGGTAAATCATGAAACATCCACCCATTGGGCATAAGAACATTGCTCATAATTTTGCCTATCTCCAGCTTATGTTTGTCCTTCTTTTGAGCAAATGGACACAATTTAAAACACTGAATGCCTACCTACAGCAATTTTATTTGCTTCAGATACTGAAGGACCAATGTTGGGCCCATATACTTTTTTCAAATAAAACTGATGTTGAAGACTCTCCTTTTAATTTGCTGTAGAGTTCTCCTGCCATTAATTAAAAGTGCATCTAAAAAGTGAACTAGAGCAGGAGGACTAGATCAACAATATAGAAATATTTGGGAGTAACTTTACTGGGCAAGGCAAATGAGAAGCCATCAATTCTTCCATTGCTATGCAGTCCCTGTCACCCACCACCATGATTTAAATGGTGTAATAGATCAATTTGCTTATGATGAACTATGGATTAGGTTGGGAAAAGAAAGCAAGGGAGGGCTGTGATTCAGAAGTAGAAAACATGATTCATAAACAAGTGATATGTTTACTGAATCTTCACTCAAAACTGGATCATGGACACAGTTTCATCACAAAAGACTGCCACCTATCTATTAATTGCCACCAGTCAATGGAAAGCACTAGAAATCTAAATAGATCAACTGGCTGACTCAAAATGAAGCAGATTTATAATTCATGCTCACATCTGCTTCTTAGAAAATTTACTACTAATCTCCTCTTGGGAGTTTACAAATTCCTACTATACATATGAGAATTTACATCATGAACTATTCTGTCCTTTTGTATTTCCAAAAGAGGAAAGAAATGGAATGCCCGACTCTTTCAAGTTCTTTGAGTGATGTTGGCTAGGATAACACAATGTACAAAGCTAAAATATTTAGCTTTGTACAGTGTGAATCAACCATTGTGGTTGATAAGCAATGATTCATAGCTTAGGTGATAGATGAACCTAACAAATCCAACATTCATTTTACAACCTATGGTTAGCAAGCCATAGCCATGAATCTGGTCTATAAATTTATATAATAAAAGATCATTCCTTCAAGCAGATTAATGTGCAGCAATGACCACACATCATATTTAAATTCTTTCAGATTACTTGTTAGTTTAATCAATTAGATAGGCATACCTAGCTGAACTATGGACTGCTTTTTGCCATTCTTTAATTTTTGCAAATATTAAATGCCATTTAAATTCATTTTGTAATTATTCAGTCCATGAATTGGGCAAAAGAAAATAAATCCAGTGATTTTTAAAAAATTTACAGAATACCTTTGGGCCAATATTTTTTTTTCCTTTTTCAGATCCCTATCAGAAGTTATGCACAAAATGTGTCCCATACTTTTTTCTCTAAATTCTCTTCCACCTTTATAAACATGATTAATCTCCTGCAGCACTCAAGGTTTTAATTAATCTCTCTTCTCTAAAGAAATCATATTTTCTCCATATTTCAGTTCTTTTTGGTTTATTTGAACATTCATATAATTTATTTGTCTTAAAAGAGCCTTACTATGGTGGTCTAAATATGTGTATTTTAGTTTAAGTTAAATGTTAGAAAACACAGGTTGGGTGGGGGTTGTTTGCATTTATGAATTCTGAAAATAGGGACATACAAGTTATAATATGTAATATGCTAATTTAAAAAAATGTGGAAACAGATTTTAAGAGCATAGCACCTGTATATAAATCAATTCATATTCAGTTGTGAAATTAAGATACAAAACTGTCAGAAATTGTATTCTTAAATTACATAAATTATTTGAGACAAATCCCTGGGGATTATCATGAGTGCTAGACAGAAACACTAATGGGAATTGAAAGATTTCTTGAAACAAACAATAAGAAATAAAGAAAGGAAGCCACTGTCCCCTTTCCAAATTGCATGTGCTGTCACCTAATTACAACTATTCACTCTTCATTAGCCTCTTGTCCTATGCTGGAAATGCCATTTTCTGAAGCATGTGTGTTCTCTCCATATGTCTTCCATTAACAAAATCCTGTTTGGCCAAGGATCTTTTTTGGAATAATTACAAATATTTAGCAATATGCTACAGGCATTGAAAATAATTGATGGATATCAAGATTAAAAAACTTCCAACTTGCTCATTTAGCTTGTGAAGAAAATGGTCAAGAAGCCTACCCACAATCTCTCCTCATGAAGAATGTAAAAATTCTATCAGACAGATCTGATCAAAACTCTGATCAGACAAACCGATTATCTATTCCCATAATAGGAAGCCTCCCTAATCTACTTAATCATACTGTATATGGAGATTCACTGTGTGAAAAAGGTTACAAAACCAACGTGTAGCAGGATGCAATTTGAAAGTCCAATTTGAAAATAGTGTAATCAACTTTATACAACATCTCAATACACACATTCAAACATATTTTATATCTCATCCTGCTTCATACATACTATAAGTGCTACAAAATCTCAGCAATTCGATTATTCTGAGATGACTCTGTACAGCATAAAGATAGTCCTCAACTTACAGCCATTCCTTTAGGAACTGTTGAAAGGTACAGTGGCACTGAAAAAAAGTGACTTACAACTGGTCCTTGCAGTTACACTTAACAATTGTTGCATTATCTCCAGAATCATGTAATCAATATTTTGGTGCTTGGCAACCAGCATGCATTTTACAATAGTTGCAGCATCCCAGGCTCATGTGATCACCATTTGCAACCTTTTCAGCCAGTTTCCAACAATCAAAGCCAATGGAGGAAGATGGATTTATTTAACAACTATTTCTTTGGGTAATACCTGTAGCCACTGAGCATACCCACCCAGCTGGCTTTTTCAAAATTCTTTGAAGACCTGGTTCTGTATCTGAACCTTGGAACACAGGTATGGGACAGAGCCCATTTTGCTTATGTTGGAGGTTTATTATATATATATCTATATATCTATATCTATATATATCTATATTTCATTTTTTAACTTCATGAGCTATCCAGTCATGTACTTGATATGGGCAGCTTTATTTGATAAAATGCCACAACTACTATTTTAAAAACCATCTGGAGCAAACTACCTCATCAAATGTATCAGCTTTATCCTCAAAGCCACCAGAAGCAAACTACCTCACCACATTTTTGGGGCTGCAGTTCTAAAGGTTCTGGTAAGATATCAATGGCAACCTTCCAGATACATTTTAGAGGCAATCTGAAAAACTCAAATTGAATTTTCTTATATACAAACATATAAGCACACCACTATAGTGTCAATGAAGACAGTCTATTTCTTCCATTTAGTTTATTGACAAATCATCACAAGCTCATAGTGCATATTTTTCCTGTAAATTTGAGCACGGCTATTCAATCATGAACATTTACAGAGTGACAGAAATATTTAACAAGATACTTATATGCCACTTAAACCAATTTATCTTATTTCAAGTTTTATCAAATTTTCCTCTTGATAAAAAAAGAAATACCATGTCTTCACCTGGCAATGATGTCAAATTATATCTATATGAAATAAAAAGAATAAATTTATCTTTTCCCCAAACACTCGTCTATAAAAGATTAAGACAGTTTTAACAATTTCCATAAATAGTGCCATCTAGTGGCCAGTAGAAAACTTTGGATAGCTTTAATTAAATTGTGAGTTTAGAGGCCTCTTGTGTTAAGTCCAATGCTTTACACATCATCCCATATAATCCTATTAATATGAATCAAGTATTTTTAACATCCTGAATATAGCTGGGTAGGAAGAACTACTCAAATCATGTGAAAGCTGGCAAAGGTACTTCAGTTTCTATTAGCAATTTTTCAATAAAAAGTGCATTAGTTTACTTAAATGCATCTCTAATCTCAGCACAGAATCCATTTTAAAAAGACTTGAATGTTCAATATCACATTACATTAATACCCAAGGCAATCAAACTGATTACTAAGGTTGTGCAACATCTTTGCAAATAGAGCTTTGAAATTCACAATGGTGTATATTAAATGCCTCTTTTTTATTGTTAAAGCAGCTATGTCTTTTTCATACATGGTGGATTCAGAAACTGTCTCTAATTGTGTTTTCACACATGTGTATCCTGTTCACAAAGTATGTGGAGACAATTGGGATTAGCTTTTGATACTGGTATATAAGCCTTAAAAATGATATGGTTGCCATAACAATTTCAAAAGATATTTTTGTGTATGTTCCAAAAGATCTACATAGTCTATCGATTTCTATAGTACAATTGTTAGAAGGTGGATTCATTATGTTTAATGAATTATTTCTAGGGCTTAGCAAAGCATTGGAAAGGTGCTTTTGCTAAACGTATTAGTGCAAATGAAGCACCACTCTTAGAAGCATTAAAATAGCTGCTTCCTTTGCAAGACTCATAAGACTGCTTTGCAAGTTGCATCTTAGCTGTTCACAGGATAATATTACTGCTGAATAGCCAGGAAAATGAAGTTGCTGTGCACAGAGATAGATGCAAAAGCAACAGGGAACAGCCTCCTGAGCAGTTTATGTTATTATTCTTTGTCAAGTGCCTCTTTCAAATGCTTTATATAGACCAATTCCTTTTTTTACGCTCCTGGAAAAAGTTGTTCTCTTATTCTAGCCAAAGCTAGAAAATATATTTCCTTATGTACAGATACAAAAAACAACAACAAAAAAACCCCCCAACAACCCAAAACACACACACACAAAACTACTGCAATGACCGACTCTCACCAAGTGTTGTGCCATCTTCGCCCATAATACACTTCATTGATGCAATTATTTGTTGAAGAACTGGAGGGGAAAATGATGTGGCATACACTGTACTGTGTGAGTAGACACGAAGGTAATCAATCAGCTCCTGATAAAGCAAATATAGAAAACTATTAGTAGATATATTCTCCATAATAGGTAAATTAGAACTGGTTTATTGAAATAGTATCTCAGAACTGAAAAGAAGTAGGGTGTGAAAAGAGAATTCACTTAGTTAATGGTATTAAGATTCTGAAAATACACCCATCATTGCAGTTAGCCAAATGGTTGTAGAAATAAATTCTATGTAAGAATTGGATTAATACTTTGAAAATTACAAGATACTATTAATTTTTAACTCTAGCAAAATAGATTGTTATATATTTGATTTATAGCATTTTTACATATGCAGTATTCATTATTTTAAAACTTTATGCTAAAAGAAGGTGAGGGATAATTCAAAATTAATTTCTTCCTTGTGACTACCCTAGTACAAAGTTATCTCAACAATTTTTAAGATATATTCAAAAGGAAGAAAAACACGAAGAATATTTCCAAGATTTTTGAATTTGAGTTCTTAGTATATAGATCAATTTCTGCATTTCCAATGTTAAGCATGACAGGTCTCCATCCAAAGTATGCCATCATCAAGAACTTTGCTGAATTCTATTATAGTTTCTACTACCTTATATTGCATTAGTATAAATTAAGCATATTGAAATATCTTAAATTTGTTACATAGTGCTTTCAACAAGATTTTGTTCAAAGCAAATTTAGCTGAATATAATTTCTAAAAATTTCATACAATTCTGTTGAAAACAGACTATACTGTAACAATTGAAGATTTTTTAAATATTAAAAATATAAAAGAATAGGTATGAAGGGGCTGCTGAGCTGACTTACCATGGTCTTTGGTTAACCATAAAAAAGGTCAACCAAAGCACTTAAAATTGAAAATATGACAAGCCAATTATGAAACGAGAACAGGAGAAACACAAAGTTTACAGAACTAGTTTAAATATTTAAATATTAAATGTTGTTTTCATTGAAATGTGAAAATTGTACTAGGGATTTATTTCATTATACTGTATTACGATATATAGTATTAAAAGTGAGTAGGTAATACTACTATCATGATAGATATAACAGGAGACACTTATAAAGCAAAAAAAAAAATAAAAAAAAAAAAATAATCAAATAAGTTTTAAACAGCTATATTTTGCTATATTTCATTTTTGGAACAAGATACCTAGCACCTAGAACAGAGTACCTTCACTAATCTTGTAGCTTTAAAATTTTTAAATGTTGGCATTAAATAAATACTTGTTGGGCTATGCATTTTTCATGGGAATACTCTGTGAAAAGAGTTCAAAGAAAAAAAGCACAGTACAAAATACACTTATCTGGTTCTTTCTTGTGACTTTCAAAAAACTTGCACACAGCTTTTAAAAAACAAGTCTTTTTACCTGAAATTCTAATGGCTAGCTTCGACATTCTGAAATCAGTAAATTGCAAATATTTCAGAAGTCTGCCCTTTTACAATTATCCAAATTCTCAATAACTATTTTTTACCTTCTTGCCTCCAATGTATCCTCCAGCAGCTCCAAAGCTCTTAGAGAATGTCCCCATCATAATATCCACATCCTCAGGGTTAAGTCCAAAATACTCAACTACACCCCGGCCATTGGGACCCAGTGCTCCTATACTATGAGCTTCATCCACGTAGAGGTAAGATTTGTATTTTTTCTTAAGCGCAATTACTTCAGGCAGTCGGACTATTGATCCCTCCATGCTGTTAGAAAAAGCACAAATTAAACTGAAAATCTCCTAATAAATAATCATTGCAGTAGACACACTTATATATAACACACCTTTCTATTTCTGTATGAAAAAATGGCAGAAGGTCTTACACGTAGCAATTGGGCACGGAGTCATAGGCCTCAACTGGGAAAGGCAGTGACCATAATTCAGGAATCAAATTTTGAGTAGGGTTCTCTATTTCCAAAAGTTGGGAGGCTGTTTTGCAACCATATACATTAGGTGTATAGGTAGATAGGGAACTTAGTAGCCCCTTTCATGTAACATATATTTAAGAATCAGAATGCCAGCTGCTTTACAAATTGTGACAAGAGCTTGTGATCGTGACATACCGTCATTTTATAAATAGTTACTTAACATTTTAAATTAAAAAAAAACCAGTGTATTTTTGAGTTTGTGGAAAATATGTGATTAGATTTGTAGTAAAGCTTTAGAACCAGCTTCTGTTGAAAATACTGAAGCACTCATTAATTTCACCAGGACTCCCCAAAATGCCCATGTGTCTGCACATAAAACACAGTCTATTGCTTCAGAGCTTAAAAGTAAAAGTAGATTTACTGGCATTAGTACTACTTGGGGCATGCACACTTGTTACTGCTACATTAAAGAGAACTACCAACATCAAGTAGTGAAAAAGCTGTATTTTGTCTTTGGTTACATTTTGACTTAAAATGGAAATAAAAAGTGAATATGGTGAACATCAATGAAATGGTGTTGTAGACTACCTGTAGATGCCTTCAACAACGATGAGAATTTTTTTCCATGGCCTGTGTGTGCGAGGTTGCCCATATACAATGGCATCTTTCAGTAGCTTCTCCAGGCTTTGCATATCTATACACAAAGAGCACAGTTACAAATCTATTTCACAAAAGGACTAAAAGCAGAAGCAGACATAAAAAGCACAATTGCAGTATGTATAGATCAGAGATCCCCAACACCTAGGCTATGGCCCACCACTGAGCTGCAGCCTGTTTAGAACCGGGCTGCACAAGAGATGCGCAGTTCAACTTGTTTGAGTAGCGGGTTGATACATACGACCAGCTTGACATGTGCAAGCAGCAGGCTGGCAAGCATACACACATCTCAACTTGCGCAAGTGGAGTTTCAGTGCACACATGTGCAACTCAACTTGCACAAGTTGCAATTCAGCACATGTGTGCGCAACTTGACTTCCGTGAGCAGCAGGCCAGCAGAGACATGTATGTGTGGTGGCCCACTGCTTGCACGGGACAGTTCCTCTTTCTCCCCACACTGCCAAACCATAAAGGTTGGGAACTGCTGGTTTAGATCAACTGGTAACTCAGAAAACCGTATTCTCTTATATGGATTAAAGGAACAATGACAGGCAAAAATAAAATCGTATCTATATTTATGATATTTATATATATTCAAATGAAATTAAACATTTCACCATTTTGTGTTATAAAGAAACTGAATCAGATATGTTGACAGCAGAGCAATGTCTAAACTGATGCAAGAGAGAAAAACATTAAAAACAACTAATGTGAGGTGAATTCATGAATGCCTTGAGAAAGCTAAATATATTTCTGATTAGCCAAAAATAGGATTAGGCAGTAGAATTGTATAATGATACCATGACTTCTTGAATTACTTTATAAATTAACTAGAATTAAAGGTAAACAATGAGATCTCTATGTCAGCATTAAGTATTCAGATGGTAATAATGAAATGTACTGTGAAAAAAAAGTATCTGTACAAGGTGAGTCATAGTAACATGGGAAATGAAACTCGGCATAAACATAGGGATGATAGATAGTGTCATAATGTCTCAGTGTTGATTTACTGTGCACAGCAATATTGATTGTCCAGGGCAAGAGACCAGGAAAGCTACTGAACAGCTGTATGACTGTTAGATATGACTTTAGAATTGTAAAGTAGAAAGTAATGGAAGAAATCAAGTTAGGTAAAATTCAAGGGCAGTTACGACAGGTTGAATTTATGTTTTAGACAACATGGATGGATTGCCAAAGGGGAAGTAAAAGGTGGCACATAACTTCAAAATGTGACTTACTAAAGTTTGAGAATGGTTCAAATGGCTATATTTCTAGTGTGAAGATTGGTTATTTAAAATATTTGTTTTTATAATTTTATGTGCTCATGGGCTTTGTTTTTTATTTCACAATGCATTATTTGTACACTTATATGCTATGATATTCCATTATTATTGAATTTTCTTTTATCTGTATTCTACTCATAATGATGTAATTAATAAATTACAATATAAATTTTCTATATAATAAATGGCACTTCTGATCATAAACTTACTTTTTATTTATCAAAACTGAGTTGGGAGAGACACAATAAAGAAGAAACAAAACTGGTAACCAAGCCTGATTCTTTGCTTTTTCTTAGCGTGGCTTTACACCTGACAGATAATGTCTGGGTTAAGTATTTTATAAGAGGTTTAACAGTGAACAAGGGATAAGAAAAGGATGTACAATGTATTATTGGTTTGTAATGTATTTATAGCTAATCTTTGAAGAATGCTTTGGAAACATCAAGAACTATTGACTGTGGTTGTAAACATACTGCCTTTGGATGATATCCAATAGTTATTGACCCTCTTAGGTTAAGACCTATTTTGAAATTACTGCATCAGTTACCAATACATTTCTTGGCCCAATAGTTATGATGCTAGTTATTCCCATAAAAAGTATTATGATATAATGTTGCAATATATCAAATTATGGTGATTATGGTGTCTGGTCTGGACATCCAAGAGGCTTGTTGCAGACCTCCAACAGCAGAGGTGGTAAGCTTTCTCAGTAGCATTTTATGGTGCATCCACCATAAAAACTAAGATGGCACTGTGTCCACTAGCATTTTGTAAAGAAGCCAAGGAAGTTCTTTTTCAGTATGCAATCCATCCCCAAAATTAAAATGAAATCAAATTATTTTAGTTTTATGGATAGCTAAGATGTATAGGCTTTTATTATTCTTATTTTAATTATTTACATTGTTTTAATTGCAAGTTTTCATTTTGCAATATACAGTTCAGATTCTATTAGGATTGGAGAAGTTATAAATACTGTAAAATAAATAAAACAATCCATTTTTTTAAGAGTGACCATGTATATTGGCAGAACATATATTTGAATAAAAACCCAATCTCCTCCCAAATACTCACTATTGTGTTTAAAGATCCGAATTGTTGCTCCTGACAGTCTTGCTCCTAGGACCAATGATGCATGATTCAACTCATCACTCACTATTAGACAACCCTGAACATAAGACAATGCAAAAGAAATAGTTCAGAAAGATACAGATAAAGCAGAATCTTTTCCCATCTAATCTGAATCCTAAAGCTTAGAAGCAACAATAAAGTTTCTTCTCAGATGTAATCGAATCCACCACCAAGAGAATATAAATGGCCGTTGTTACTCACAGGATTTCTTTCCATCTTAACAACTCCACACATGAAATTGTGGATACCTTGGAAAAAATATTTTATGCCTGAACAACTGCCAACTACTCTATCAAGCATGTATGTAAAACACACACTTACAACCCCCCCATACTCTAAAAATCCTTCTCCAGAAAAGAACCATATGCTCCAAATTGCAAAAACAATAAAAACCTTTGCATAGGTAACCAGATCTGTATTTACTAACCACAAATACTCAAAATTGCAGTTAATATATGCATTTATTATTTCCTGGTGTTTTTTTAATTTAGTTCATTTTCACAGGACTGAATATATTTATGCAAAAGTAGGTAAGCAGCATTACAGAAAACAAAGAAAAAGGGTTAGTTTTCTTGATTTACAATTTATGATAATAAGAAGGCAAAAATAGTGCAGTAATTAGGTCACTTAATCTTATAGCTTTGCTGACAATGTTTTCATGAAAAGAAAAATTTCAAAATCAATGAATAATCCATCTTTTATAAATTTCTCAATTTATTTAATGTTACTTGAAAGACAAAGAAGAATATGCCAAGAAGAATCTGTGAAGTATTAATAGTTCAAAATCGCACTGGTGGATTATGGCTTTGGAATGTAAATATTGGCATAATGTCTCCATAATGCTACTGAATTTTTTATATGAATGATCTGTTGTCTTTTGTACTATCATAACTTCTCACCAACTTGAAATATTAAATAATATTGATTATATTTGAAAGCTATAATGGGAGAACCACAAAACTAAGGAAGAATAAACATATTCTGGACTTTTATTTAGAATGAAATTTTATTCAGATATTTTCTATGACAGAATGTTTATGTGACTACCAGCAGATACTAGGTAACAATCATTATTTAAAAATTAAGTCAATGAATAATATCTTTAATTAATTAAAACTCACTAATATCTTTTTTTCTTGTAGAAAGTTTTTTATTTTTCCTTTCAACTTCATTCTTAAATATACATTATAATTGGTATTTAACATTTGTCAATTCATATCATTTTTCTGCCTGTATATTTACATTTTCATATTTTCTTATTTCCCCTCTCCCTAATTGATGTTGATGTTTAATAAATTTATAGGCTGCCCAATCCCGATGTGTCATCTGAGATATTTATTTCATGTTTTGTTCCTTTTTCTTTCTATTTATATCTTTTTTCAAGCCACTTTTTTCAATTGCCCCCATGTCCTGTAGTACACTGATTCCTCTTTGTCCTTTATTCTCAATGTCAACCTGTTCATTTCTGCAGTCTAATATCTTCTTTATTACCTCTCCTTCCAATGGGGTTTTGTCTGCTTTCCAATTTTGCGCAAATACAATTCTAGCTGCTGTTATTATTTGTACAATCAAATATGAATTTTCTTTACTATATTTCTCTGATAGAATACCCAATAAGAATACCTCTGGCTTAAACTTTATGGGCTGATGTATCATTTTCTCTAACTATGTTTGTATTTTAACCCAATAACTTTTTGCGTCCCTACACGTCCACCAGATATGATAATATGTTCCTGGCAATTGGTGACATTTCCAACATTTAGCTGATTTATCCTTAAACATTTTTGCTAACTTTCAAGTGTCATGTGCCATCTATAAAACAGTTTATATAAATTCTCTTTGTATGCTGTTTATAGTTCCTTTCCCATAGTTGCCATTTTTCTAGTTCTATTATATATCCAAGGTGTTTTGCCCATCATTGTTTCTTTAATTTCTTCTTCTAAATCTATTCTAAGTAAATAACTATACAATTTTTTAATCATTTTTTCATTCGTTCCCATGAGTATCCTAATTAATTCTGAATCTTCCATATTAAAACCATACTCTTTAACATCTTTCTCATATCTTATTTGTATTTACATTTGTTTAAACCATCCTATATCAATCCCTTGTTTTAATTCTTTCTTCTGTTTTAGTTCTCCCTGTGCTGTTAGTATATCTTTGTCCTTTTTTCGTACTACTAATATTCGGATGTGTCAAAGCTTCCACCATTGAAAGCCACATTGAAAAGCCACCGTTGAAAAGCACTATACTTTCATATAGTGCTTTTCTTTTACTTTTTCCCATACTGCGTATAAACCATTTCTTACATAGTGTCTCTGAAAATATTCTATTTTTCCCATGCCACAAAAATGCGAGCCAACGCAGTTGCATATCATGTCCAAGGATAATAACCTTGCATTTCTTAATAATATCCATTCTTTTATCCACGTTAGAGTTGCTACTTAATAGTATAATTCCCAATTCGATACACCAAATCCATCTCTAATCCTTGAATCTTGTAACATTCTTATATTAATTCTCGCCTTCTTTTCTTGCCAAATATATTCTCCTATTATTTTATTTAGTTTTTTGAAGTACTTTTTTTCCAGTTTTATCGGTATTGTTTAGAATAAAAATAATATTCTTAGTCATATATTCATCTTAATTACCGCTATTCCTCCCATTAGTGATAGCTGTAAATTTTTCCATTTCTCTATATCCATTTCAATTTGATTTCTTAATTTATAGTAATTATCTTCCTTAATCGAAGTCAACTGAATTCCCAAATATTTTACTCTTTTTACTATTTGAACATCTAATTTCTCCATTATTTCTCTTGTCTGTTATGTTTTTTACTATTTTTTTTGTTTTATCTTTATTAATTTTCAATCCTGCCTGTTCTCCCTACTCTTCTATTTGTTCTAGTAGTTTTGGACCTGTTTCTATTGGATCTTCAATAATGAATACCAAGTCATCTGCAAATGCATGCAATTTATATTCTTCTTTTTTAACTTTCACTCCTTTATCTTGCCTTATATTTCTGTTCAAAATTTCTAGTGTCAATATAAATAATAGTGGAGATAGCGGACACCCTTGCCTAGTCCCTTTTCTAATCAGTACTTTTTCTGTCATATCTCCATTTACTATCACTTTAGCCTGTTGTTATTTATAGATAGTTTTAACCATATTTATGAATCTCTTCCCAAAATCCATCATTTGCAGTTGCATTAAATTTCCAATTTACATTATCAAAAGCTTTCTGTGCATCCAAAAATAACAATGCCATTTGTTTCCTGGGATGTGCTTCGTAATATTCTAATGCATTCCATATAATTCGCATATTATCTCTAATTTGTCTCTTGGGTAAAAAAACATTTTGATCTAAGTATATAAATTCACTTAACAGTCTTTTAAGTCTTTCCGCAATTATCGATGCAAGTATTTTATAATCCAAGTTTAATAAAGAAATTAATCTATAGTTCTTTATTTGTTGCAAGTCTGTTTCTTCTTTTGGGATAAGAGTTATGTAAGCCTCTGACCAAGAATTTGGTATTTTTGGTTTTAATAACAGCTCATTGATTACTTCTAGCATGATGTTGTTTCATACATCTTGTACTGTTTTGTAGTATTCTGCTGGTCATCCATCTGGACCTGGTGTTTCCCCCCCCCTTTTTTTATTGCTTCTATTACTTCCATCATTGTTATTCTGCTAGTACCTTTTTAAATTTTTCTGAAATCTTAGGTGTTTCCACCTTCTCTAAATACTATTTTATCTTTTCCTCTGCCGCTTTGTCTTGCTGGTGTAATTCCTTATAATATTTTTCTACTATTTTTTCCTTTTCCTCCTTTCGATAACAAATATTCTTGGTCTGATAATTGATTTATGAATCTTTTTTTTCTCTTTTTTCATCTTGTACGCCAACCATCGTCCTGGTTTATTTGCGTTTTCAAAGAAATTTTGCTTTGTGGCTTTTACTTTATTTGCCATTTCTTCGTTTTCCATTAAATTCAATTTGTGTTTTTCTAGATCCATCAAATTTTTAATTTTAGCATTTTGTGGGTTTCTTTGTAGTTCTATTTCGAGTCTTCTGTGTTCCTCCTCTATCTTCTTTCGTATTTGTTTCTTTCTTTTTCCTAGATAAGTCATTACTAGTCCTCTGGTATATGCCTTGCTGATATCCCACACATTCTGTAAGGATGTGTCTTCTTTATTATTCTCTTTTTTTTAAAAAAGTTCAATTCTTTTTCCATATATTGCTGAATTTTTTTTTTCATTTAATAGATTTTGATTTAATGGCCATCTCATTTTTTTTCTCTGACCTCAGTAATATCTTCATGACTCAATGCAGCTTGAAATATTGAAAAACTGCTTCTTTAAAATCATAGTGGCATAAGTTCTCCTACAGTAATTTGTTTTTTCCTCTAAGAAACTATATTTGTTAACAAATTGTATTTGTTAAATACACTTGCATTAAATACTGGAATTTTCATTCTTCTCTTTTATCAAACACTTCCTTCTCCTGAAGCCATACCTTGCCAACCAAAGCAGGAATATTCATCGAGTTTGTGGCAAATCCCATCCCATATGCCAAAACTGATTCCACACCAAGAAATCTGGCTATTAAACTTTCTAGTTCCTCGTGTTTATCCAGGTTTCCTATAAATATAAAAAATAAGGTGAGAATAAAAAAAATATTGGAATTATTAGAAGAATTCTAATTAAGAATTAAGGAAGCACATGCAACAATACATTTTGTGAAGTCTGGGTGAAGAAGCTCAGAACTTACCCATCTCTTGCCTAGTACTGCAAATCCCACATCCATATTGTGAGATAACCTTAGACGCTGCATATTTGCAAGCACCATGATTTTCTCCAAATCCAAGATAGTTGTAGGATCCCATATTAATTACATCTTTTATTATCTTTCCTGTATACCTACATTTTAATTAAAAACACAAAACATTTATATAGAGAGCACCAATAGTATCAAGTACATTAAATATCAGTAATGGCTACAATTTAGATAATGCATTTAGAAATCAAGGAGTTGGAGACATAATGCACCAAGTTTTTAGTTCACTAGCAATTTACTGAAAGCAGTGACACCATGCTATGCTAAAAACTATTTTTTTTAAACAAAGAGCTTAACATTTATACTATAATATGATGTGGAAAGAAAGCAATTGGCATTACTAATAAAAGCTAACTAGTTAAAATTTTCAGTATCTTTTGTCCAAAACGTACCAAAGGCCAGGCTGAAATAGCAAAGACAATTCTGTTCTTTTTCACAATTTGATTAATCATCTTTAATTATAGCTTTTTAAACATTTCTAATATAATTGGCTTTAAGCAAATAAAATGAGTACAATGTCAGTGTGCACATTGAAAAATGAAAGCTCTCTTAAGAATTAAATCAGATCTATCAGCAATTTTAAAATAGCTTGATATCTCTTTGTATTAATTTCAAAATGTTCCTGTTCACAAGGATTTTGGTTTATCATTTATTTGTCACTTCCTCATGCAGGATATCCCCCATTAAGTTAAAGGAAGTGCAACTGAAAGTCACTGCTGTTATAAGGATAGTGCTAAACATATATTAATATACAAGCATATTAAAGCAGTGTAAAAGCATGTTAACTGTACACCAAATCATAAAACAATTATTCCTGATCCCAAGTGCCAGTCCTCTTACTTACCACATCTAGAACTTTTAATTGTACCTCTTATTTAAACATAGGGCAATCTGAAAAAAAATATGATATGCCATTCCACCTAGAAATCATTTTCAACTCCAAACAGAAATCGGAGATCTTTCAATTATTAAAAAATAAAGTATTAATTCCTATTGTAGTTGTGCTACCAAAGATTGTATAGCACAAATAAATAATTGCAAGGGTAGAAGATATATTAGAAAACTGGTGTATTTGCTCAAGTTCCAGATTACTCTCATTATCATGCTTGGTGGACATGTCATAAAGCTAAAAAAAATCCAAATACATATTTTGATACAAAGGATTTTAAAGATAAATATTATATTGAAGCCCGAAGTTTTTCTTTCAGAATTAATAGAAAAGCAGTTAGAAAAACCCAGGGAAGATTATTTTAATATATTATCACAACAGATTATTGTATGCACCAAGATGGAAAAGTTTGGCACCACCCACTATGAAGGAATGGTTGATGAAGTTATTGTTCAACTGTTCAAGTTTTCTAAAGATTAGCTATTTACAAACTTTTGGAAACTTTACTCACTTGAATGTCCAATTGTAGTCATGAGAAACTTGTTCCAACATATCCATTTTTGCTCCTGGAGCACTGCAAATCGGTCTGTTCCAGTTATCTCTGATGCGCATGTAAAGATTCCTTGTGTAGAAGTTTTCAAAATCTTGGTACAGAGGAACAAAGTCCTAAAAACATGAGAAGTGCATTAATATAAATGGTAAGTCAATTTTGCAAATTATCTGGAAGCCATAGATTATTTATTTATCAGATTTTCATTCAACAGTGGAATTTGTGCTAGTCAAACCCAGGGAATATGAGATTCTTATTTTGAGACGATTCAAGTATTAATTATTTATAGGCTTTTTATAACAGTTAGGTAAATAAGTAAGAGCTGACCTATCCAACTCATTTCTACATTTTTGGCTTGCACTTTATACTGAAATATAATTTGACATTCCAGCATTTATTTTCTCAAAATTTTATTACTTGGAAAATACAACTTGATGATATACTTCATCTACTAGGTTACCTTCAGCAGCACACCACATTTGTGAGGCCTGGTTAAAATGCACACACAGCATTTAAAATACTGCTTGACACTCCTAGTACTGAAAGCCAATTTAAGCAACACATTTCGCATTTGGTCATTTTAACTTGCATAACAAATTTAAGTTCAAATGTAAAAAAGATGCTTTATATTCTTAATCAAATGCTCTAGAATGCTCAAATTCTTGTATCTCAACAGGTGTGCATTTTTTCCATATTTAATAACACTTCTTTTGTCTGGATTATTCTTCTTAATTAATCTTATTTTTTTCATCCCAAGTTTCAGTAGTGTTAATGAAATATCATTCCTGTGTTAAGACTTATCATCATTCCTGTGTTAAGACTTTCAGTATTTTCTCTTTGCTCCCCATTTTTTGTACATTATACAGACAATGTATTCCTTGGGTTATGTACACTGGCCTATTCCTTTTTGCATGTATGTTTCAGCCTCCACTAGACATAGACACACATCCTAGTTTTTTTCTCAGTATTTGGCATTCATTTGTTTCTGGGATCTTCTCTCCCTCAATCATGGGTTTAAGTTTAAGATATTCTGAATCAAGATTAGAAGGCAATGGGTATTGTCTGTTGATGACAGTTTGCCATCAATGGGATGGCAAACTGTCATCCCAAAAGTTCACTGGGTTTCTAAGTACCACCATATATTTGCCTGAAATTCACCAAGCTAAAGTCATTTTATATGTATTCTAATTTGGCAAGAGTGTCCAATACTTAAATAATGTTGTTTTTTTCATCCTAATCAAATTGTGCTCTTGCCACATTTTTCTGGTGGGCAAAAATATGCCCTCCCCCGCAAATAAGCCCCCTGCACAACCCCCCACCTCCATCCAGGCAGAGCACCACTCACCAACCTAGCGGTATCCCAAAGGTGCCAAGCCGTGGGAACCGGGGGGAGGAGCAAAGGTGATCATGTAGCTTGGCGCCTTCGGCACTTAGGTAGGTTAGCAGCGCTATGCACAGCTGAAAGGGGGGGGGGTTGCCAGGCGGTTGCTCTCTTGCGAGCGGGCTCCCAAAGAGCGGGGCACACCCTCAGGGGCGTACAGCTGTGTTGCACTGTTGCAGCAGCACAGCACAGCAGCCATGAAGCAACCCCGCTCACAAGCAGCCACCTGGCAAACCCCCTTTCCAGCCGGGCACTTTCCAGCTGGGCACAATCTATGGTTGTACGCTCTGGGAGTATGCTTCGCCGGCAGCTGACTCACAACCATAGAGCGTACACCCAGAGCGGCCACTGCCATAAGACTCGGTTTGGAAGCTGCCAAAAAAGCCATGCTGGGATGGTGGCGGCGGGGGCAGCGGAGGTGCTCTGGCTCTGCAGGGAGAGCTGGGCCAGAGCATAGTGAGGCTGGGAGGCGCATGAGTGGGAGCGGAACAGCCGCTCGTGTAACCCCCCCTCTCCAGCCGTGCAGAGTGCCTTTCACTGGCATTTCGAAGGGGCCCAGGTGCGAGAGCCGGGCAGCGGCGAACAGGCGCTCACACGGCTTGGCGATACCCCTAGGTCAGTGAATGGTACTGTGCCCGGCTGGAGAGGGGGTTTGCCGGGTGGCTGCTCCTGAGTATGTTTGCTTCATGGCTGCTGTGTTGCGCTACTGTGACTGAACAACACAGCTGTTCGCCCCTGAGGCTATGCCCGGCTCTTTGGGAGCCTGCTCACAAGAGAGCAGCCGACCGGCAACTCCAAAACAATAAGCCCTCCCCTGATAATAAGGCTGAAGCCATATTTTGTGTGTAAAAAGAAAATAAGACCCTGTCTTATTTTCAGGGAAACACGGTATATTCCTGCAACGTATGGAATGACAAGCTTATTGTTCTCTTTTTTGTCTATTGTGAAGGAGCTTCTGTTGGGTCTTTTTGATTTGATGAAGGCCCACTTGGGATAGCCACACCTTCTGAGGGCTTCCTTCTTTTTCTTTCCCATCTTTGCTGGTAGGCAAGCCTTCAGCTCAGTGGTGTAAGGTTTTGATAATTCTCATTTTGTGCAGTGAGTGGTGAGAATCAAAATGTAAATATTGATCTCTTTATGTGGATTTTCTGCAAACTTCAATGTTAAGGCTTCTGTCTTCTTTAATGTGCACTGCACAGTCCAGGAAAGCTAGACTATTTTCCTTAACATCTTCCCGTGTTAATTTAATGTATCTGTCCACAGAGTTGATACGTTTAGTAATTTGTGCAATTTTAGTTTCCAATCTTTGCTGATGAAGTTCCGTGAATTATGTGATCTAACCACCTTATTAGCTCCTCTAGTTAGCAACACCAGCTATCACATGAATTGTGTGATGTGATGGGTGATATTGCCAACTAAGATAAAGGTCCCCTTGCACATATGTGCTAGTTGCTTCCGACTCTTGGGGATGGTGCTCATCTCTGTTTCAAAGCCAAAGAGCCAGCACTGTCCGAACACATCTTTGTGGTCATGTGGCCGGCATGACTAAATATCAAAGGCACACAGAATGTTGTTACCTTCCCACCAAAAGTGGTTCCTATTTTTTACATGCTTTCGAACTTCTAGGTTGGCAGAAGCTGGGACAAGTAACGGGAGGTCATTCCGTTATGCGGTGTCAGGGATTTGAACCACTGAACTGCTGACATTTCTGATTGACAAGCTCAGCATCTTAACCACTGCATCCCAACTAGAGGAGCTAATAAGGTGGTTACTTCACATCAACAATTCACAGAACTTTGTCAGCAAGCTTCTTGGATGAGAAGTGAAAGGTCTTCTAAAAAACCCCAAGAAAGTCCAGTTGCGTCTTGAAAAAAGTACCTTTGGCACAATTATGACCTGGATGACTGAGAATCCATAGACATTTACCTCTCATTGGCACGCACAATTCCAGAGATCAATGGTCTCCTGACTAGAAGAATGCAAAACAGCCCAGGTTTCAGCATGTTTATGGGTTATTTATCCCCAGAAAGGTCGTGTAGGAATGATATAGGAAACAGTGTATATCATCTTGTGACATTTAAAACTGGAATGTAGCATCTAGTAACACTACAGGCTGCCGAAGCATTTTAAATTCCATTCTACTACAGGACACTCTAACTTTCCCCTACCCCCACAGATACTAGCACCATGTACCATAAACAATGACTTTTATTGTGTCTGTATACTGGCTCCTTTCAAACCAGAGAAAAGCAATAGTTTGTATTTGTCTCCTCCTCCTTCTTTCTCCAGGATCATCAGGTAATTTGCTTGTTCCCTTTTCTATTTCTACACAAGAGCCTCCATAAAAGAAATAATGAAAATGAAGGAATGAGTTGTGCCTTAATATCATACAGAGAAAAAAAAGAACTCAAAGTGGAATTTCTACTGTATATACTCAAGTATAAGCCTAGTTTTTCAGCCCACTTTTTGAGCTGAAAAAAGCCGCCTCGGCTTA